ACCCTTGTATCCAGACATACACTTACTTACCCAAATGAGTAACAACCTACCCTTGTATCCAGACATACACTTACAGAACCTAATGAGTAACGACCTACCCTTGTATCCAGACATACACTTACAGAACCTAATGAGTAACGACCTACCCTTGTATCCAGACATACACTTACAGAACCTAATGAGTAACGACCTGCCCTTGTATCCAGACATACACTTACAGAACCTAATGAGTAACGACCTGCCCTTGTATCCAGACATACACTTACAGAACCTAATGAGTAACGACCTACCCTTGTATCCAGACATACACTTACAGAACCTAATGAGTAACGACCTACCCTTGTATCCAGACACACACTTACAGAACCTAATGAGTAAAGACCTGTCCTTGTATCCAGACATACACTTACAGAACCTAATGAGAAACGTCCTGCCCTTGTATCCAGACATACACTTACAGAACCTAATGAGTAACGACCTACCCTTGTATCCAGACATACACTTACAGAACCTAATGAGTAACGACCTACCCTTGTATCCAGACATACACTTACAGAACCTAATGAGTAAAGACCTACCCTTGTATCCAGACATACACTTACAGAACCTAATGAGTAACGACCTACCCTTGTATCCAGACATACACTTACAGAACCTAATGAGTAACGACCTACCCTTGCATCCAGACACACACTTACAGAACCTAATGAGTAACAACCTACCCTTGTATCCAGACATACACCTACAGAACCTAATGAGTAACGTCCTGCCCTTGTATCCAGACATACACTTACAGAACCTAATGAGTAACGACCTACCCGTGTATCCAGACATACACTTACAGAACCTAATGAGTAACGACCTACCCTTGTATCCAGATATACACTTACTTAACCTAATTAGTAACGACCTACCCTTGTATCCAGACATACACTTACAGAACCTAATGAGTAACGACCTGCCCTTGTATCCAGACATACACCTACAGAACCTAATGAGTAACGACCTACCCTTGTATCCAGACATACACTTACAGAACCTAATGAGTAACGACCTGCCCTTGTATCCAGACATACACCTACAGAACCTAATGAGTAACGACCTACCCTTGTATCCAGACATACACTTACAGAACCTAATGAGTAACGACCTGCCCTTGTATCCAGACATACACTTACAGAACCTAATGAGTAACGACCTGCCCTTGTATCCAGACATACACTTACAGAACCTAATGAGTAACAACCTACCCTTGTATCCAGACATACACTTACTTACCCAAATGAGTAACAACCTACCCTTGTATCCAGACATACACTTACAGAACCTAATGAGTAACGACCTACCCTTGTATCCAGACATACACTTACAGAACCTAATGAGTAACGACCTACCCTTGTATCCAGACATACACTTACAGAACCTAATGAGTAACGACCTGCCCTTGTATCCAGACATACACTTACAGAACCTAATGAGTAACGACCTGCCCTTGTATCCAGACATACACTTACAGAACCTAATGAGTAACGACCTACCCTTGTATCCAGACATACACTTACAGAACCTAATGAGTAACGACCTACCCTTGTATCCAGACACACACTTACAGAACCTAATGAGTAAAGACCTGTCCTTGTATCCAGACATACACTTACAGAACCTAATGAGAAACGTCCTGCCCTTGTATCCAGACATACACTTACAGAACCTAATGAGTAACGACCTACCCTTGTATCCAGACATACACTTACAGAACCTAATGAGTAACGACCTACCCTTGTATCCAGACATACACTTACAGAACCTAATGAGTAAAGACCTACCCTTGTATCCAGACATACACTTACAGAACCTAATGAGTAACGACCTACCCTTGTATCCAGACATACACTTACAGAACCTAATGAGTAACGACCTACCCTTGCATCCAGACACACACTTACAGAACCTAATGAGTAACAACCTACCCTTGTATCCAGACATACACCTACAGAACCTAATGAGTAACGTCCTGCCCTTGTATCCAGACATACACTTACAGAACCTAATGAGTAACGACCTACCCGTGTATCCAGACATACACTTACAGAACCTAATGAGTAACGACCTACCCTTGTATCCAGATATACACTTACTTAACCTAATTAGTAACGACCTACCCTTGTATCCAGACATACACTTACAGAACCTAATGAGTAACGACCTACCCTTGTATCCAGACACACACTTACAGAACCTAATCAGTAACGACCTACCCTTCTATCCAGACATACACTTACAGAACCAAACGAGTAACGACCTACCCTTGTATCCAGACATACACTTACAGAACCTAATGAGTAACGACCTACCCTTGTATCCAGACATACACTTACAGAACCTAATGAGAAACGTCCTGCCCTTGTATCCAGACATACACTTACAGAACCTAATGAGTAACGACCTACCCTTGAATCCAGACATACACTTACAGAACCTAATGAGTAACGACCTACCCTTGTATCCAGACATACACTTACAGAACCTAATGAGTAACGTCCTACCCTTGTATCCAGACATACACTTACAGAACCTAATGAGTAACAACCTACCCTTGTATCCAGACATACACTTACAGAACCTAATGAGTAACGACCTACCCTTGTATCCAGACATACACTTACAGAACCTAATGAGAAACGTCCTGCCCTTGTGTCCAGACATACACTTACAGAACCTAATGAGTAACGACCTACCCTTGTATCCAGACATACACTTACAGAACCTAATGAGTAACGACCTACCCTTGTATCCATACATACACTTACAGAACCTAATGAGTAACAACCTACCCTTGTATCCAGACATACACTTACAGAACCTAATGAGTAACGACCTACCCTTGTATCCAGACATACACTTACAGAACCTAATGAGTAACGACCTACCCTTGTATCCAGACATACACTTACAGAACCTAATGAGTAACGACCTACCCTTGTATCCAGACATACACTTACAGAACCTAATGAGTAACGACCTACCCTTGTATCCAGATATACACTTACTTAACCTAATTAGTAACGACCTACCCTTGTATCCAGACATACACTTACTTAACCTAATTAGTAACGACCTACCCTTGTATCCAGATATACACTTACAGAACCTAATTAGTAACGACCTACCCTTGTATCCAGATATACACTTACTTAACCTAATTAGTAACGACCTACCCTTGTATCCAGACATACACTTACAGAACCTAATGAGTAACGACCTACCCTTGTATCCAGACACACACTTACAGAACCTAATGAGTAACGACCTACCCTTGTATCCAGATATACACTTACTTAACCTAATTAGTAACGACCTACCCTTGTATCCAGACATACACTTACTTAACCTAATTAGTAACGACCTACCCTTGTATCCAGATATACACTTACAGAACCTAAGTAGTAACGACCTACCCTTGTATCCAGATATACACTTACTTAACCTAATGAGTAACGACCTACCATTGTATCCAGACATACACTTACAGAACCTAATGAGTAACGACCTACCCTTGTATCCAGACACACACTTACAGAACCTAATGAGTAAAGACCTACCCTTGTATCCAGACATACACTTACTTAACCTAATTAGTAACGACCTACCCTTGTATCCAGACATACACTTACAGAACCTAATGAGTAACGACCTACCCTTGTATCCAGACATACACTTACAGAACCTAATGAATAAAGACCTACCCTTGTATCCAGACATACACTTACAGAACCTAATGAGTAACGACCTACCCTTGTATCCAGATATACACTTACAAAACCTAATTAGTAACAACCTACCCTTGTATCCAGATATACACTTACAGAACCTAATGAGTAACGACCTACCCTTGTATCCAGCCATACACTTACAGAACCTAATGTGTAAAGACCTACCCTTGTATCCAGACATACACTTACATAACCTAATGAGTAACAACCTACCCTTGTATCCAGACATACACTTACTTAACCTAATGAGTAACGACCTACCCTTGTATCCAGACATACACTTACAAAACCTAATGAGTAACGACGTACCCTTGTATCCAGACATACACTTACAGAACCTAATGAGTAACGACCTACCCTTGTATCCAGACATACACTTACAGAACCTAATGAGTAACGACCTACCCTTGTATCCAGACATACACTTACATAACCTAATGTGTAACGTCCTACCCTTGTATCCAGATATACACTTACTTAACCTAATTAGTAACGACCTACCCTTGTATCCAGACATACACTTACAGAACCTAATGCATATGAGTAACGTCCTGCGCTTGTATCCAGACATACACTTACAGAACCTAATGAGTAACGACCTACCCTTGTATCCAGACATACACCTACAGAACCTAATGAGTAACGTCCTACCCTTGTGTCCAGACATACACTTACAGAACCTAATTAGTAACGTCCTGCCCTTGTATCCAGACATACACTTACAGAACCTAATGAGTAACGTCCTGCCCTTGTATCCAGACATACACTTACAGAACCTAATGAGTAACGTCCTACCCTTGTGTCCAGACATACACTTACAGAACCTAATGAGTAACGTCCTGCCCTTGTATCCAGACATACACTTACAGAACCTAATGAGGAACGTCCTGCCCTTGTATCCAGACATACACTTACAGAACCTAATGAGTAACGACCTACCCTTGTATCCAGACATACACTTACATAACCTAATGAGTAACGACCTACCCTTGTATCCAGACATACACTTACAGAACCTAATGAGTAACGTCCTACCCTTGTATCCAGACATACACTTACATAACCTACTTAGTAAGGACCTACCCTTCTATCCAGACATACACTTACATAACCTAATGAGTAACGACCTACCCTTGTATCCTGAGATACACTTACAGAACCTAATTAGTAACGTCCTGCCCTTGTATCCAGACACACACTTACAGAACCTAATGAGTAACGACCTACCCTTGTATTCGGACATACACTTCCATGTGATACAGCGGTGTGCAGGTTTCTGACAGTATCAGCTGGTGTGGAGCCGTGTGGCCCTGTGACCTGTTATGTTGTCTTTCACAGTTCAAAGTTTGCTGTTTCATTTTCCCTTAACAAGGAAAACATCATATTCTGTATTACACAAGCGGTGACTCTCAACAAAACAGAATGCATGAAAAGGTGTAACCAAAATATTGAATATGGTAGTTCGTTACTTTCTTTGCGATGACATGTAAATTATACAGCTCCATCTGAAACAACAAATTAATTTGCTATAATAACATGAATGCGTGAAGTGAATCTGCTTGAATGCGTAAAACACTACAGGTTTGTTGAATTGGAAAAGTCAACAATATATTACAATATTCTTTCACCTTCTTTGCCCTTCAATAATAGCAACAAAATCTGTTCTGCTGAAGTCCTTGTCTGTGGTATAACTGACTATGTATCAGCATGTTTCCAAAAAGCACAATCCAATCGTGGTGTGTTGACAGTTACATCTGTATGGCCTGTTATGTGTCATGGTTCAAAATGTTTTGTTTCATTTTCCCCACAACAAGGAAAACATCATTTTCTCAAATAGACAATCAGTGTTTTCTGACACAACTAAACAGAATGTGTCAAAACGTAGGAATAAATGTTACATCTTGTATTTAGTTACCTTGTTTTTTCTGTGATCACATGGACAATATTAGCTTAGTCTGAAACAAGAAACTAATAACACACTTATAGGCTATAACAACATGGAAGTATATAGTGAAACATTTCCTTGAATTTGTGAAACACTACAGGTTTGTTAAACATGGAAATGCCCTGGTTTCAGGTGCGTTGATTAGCATAACATACTACTTTTTATCGTCAAACTTTCCATACATTAATTCTACATGATGTGAAGACCAGAGACATACTCCACTAAATCAGAAAAAATACTGCAGGTTATTGAATTTGAACTTTGAAACTTTGAAACTTGGAAACTTGGAAACTTGGAAACTTGGAAACAAGGGAATTTATGCAAAACAATTAAGTAACATTCTAAGACAAAATTGGTTTCCCAAGTGTTCCACACTATTTTTGAAATGTCATGAATCATCAATAGTTTCATTTTCCTATCCGAACAACGTTTCATGCAAGTTGTTCGGTTATCGGGAACATTCAACCACCCTACGCTGGCCGCATTTGCCGAAATTATTATGTTGTTTAAAGTATTACTAAAACTACAGCTGTGAATGTTTAACATCTTTACCACAGTAAATGGCATGTTCCTCATCTAATTACTCAGTTTACCTTAGACGCTCTACGTATGAAGTTATATTAATCAAAATAATGTCAACGATAGTCATAAACCCTTTCCCGTAATTACCAACAAGAGCACTGCATATCCACAAGTATAATGGTCATGATCTATGAAGATGTTATAATTATTCAGTTTCTCTGTAAACTAAGGTTATTGACAAACATTGCTAGCTAAAAAAGAGATAGCATATCAAGCCGTATGCATTCTGTGCACAACTGTTGGTGGGTAGGTGTGCCTCAAGATGTGGAGACAAGATGTGACAAGATGTGACCTCTGTGGCAAGGTTATCATGATCTCGCCTTGTTCTGACACCATGTTACTCTCCTAGGAACATGCAAGTCCAGTTATGGACCAAGTTATCATTTCATCTCCCTCTGGAGTTGCATTGCACTCACCACAGAGCAGATGATTAAACTCTTGTAGAATATCTGCTTGACAGATCCCTCGACATTTACCTACCACTCTATGGAATCTTTGACAACCAGGCCACGTGTACAGATTGTGTAATGGCAGCTATGGCCTTCTACCAGAGAGAACTTACCATTATGACATACCACACATGAAACAACCTGTATTCCTTTTGGCAACGTTACATAAAACCCGAACAAATGTATGTATCCTCAAAGTGTTTAATGTTTCATGTTGACGTCTTCTCGCCTTAGTTCACTGACACTTCTCGCCTTGTTGTACTGACTTCTCGCCTTAGTTCACTGACACTTCTTACCTTGTTGTACTGACTTCTCGCCTTAGTTCACTGACACTTCTTACCTTGTTGTACTGACTTCTCGCCTTAGTTCACTGACACTTCTTACCTTATTGTTCTTGTCTTACTGCTGTCCCAATCTGTATTATTCTTAATCACACAGTCTCCAAAACAAGTAAACAAAGATGATGATGTGTAATGATTCTGTGTGCACTTGACGTAAATACTCCAATATAACATATATTGCTTTTATTCACAGATTGGAACTGTTTTATCATTATTATCATCATTGATATCTCTTGATACTTGCTGGAATATACACAGCTCTCTCCTCCTCTCTTGATTCAAGGCTAGCCCCCAATAGCTACGCCCTCATTTCGACGCCTGGCTTTGAGCACACACCCAAGGCTGTCTTAGCTGTATTGTATAAAGATGTAAAAATATATGAAGACTAGTGCTGCGAATCAAACTATTATATGTAAATACTAAAGTCATTCCATGTGTTGGTCACTATCACAATGTTTGTTCAGTGGCTGGACACCAGATAAACCCTGACTAATTCAGGTGAGGTCTCCTCCATATCCAGGTCATCTAATTTGATAATCACTGTCAAGCATAGAAAACACACATCGCCTTATAGGTGTACCAATCTTTCAGGTCAAACTTAGACGAAGTGGGTCGACACCAAATGTCTTTGTGTGTGTGTGTGTCTCTGTGTGTATATATATGTGTGTATGTGTGTGTGTGTGTGCCTGTGTGTGTGTCTGTCTCTGGGTGTGTGTCTGTGCATGCATCTGAGAGTCTGTGTATGATAATTTCTGTGTGTAGTGTCTGCGTGCAAGATTTCTGTATAAGGGTGTTGAAGATTAAGCGCATGGGTGTGTGTAAGAGTATGTGAGGGATTGTGTTAGATCGTCTGTAAAAGTATGTTCAAAAGTTTGCTTTTACAAATGCGTGCAGGGGTGCGTAGGACGTAATATAAGATCCAGTGACCCGTTGGTCGCGCTATGTACAAACGTCCTTCAACGTTACTCATTGACAGGTCCCGGGGGACAAGACCCCACAGCTGTAGTTTCTGTTTCCCTGTGTGTACAGCGTCCGTCGCTCACTCCGTGACACTGAACCAGGGCACAGTAATGTATTTATAGCGCGCACCACACAACTACACAGTAGGACATCATATCCGCTTCAGGTTACACACAACCAAATGTTTTCCCATAGACTTCTATAGTAACGTTATGATTTTTTTTTAAATAACTAAGCATTCAACAGCTATTACCTGTACGTGTGTGCACAGTTTGGCCTTAGAGCACCATTAAAAAAAATAAAAATGACTAGCTTAGCCAGCTCCTTTTCCGAGTACCGGAAGCTAAACACACCACCCCCAGTTTCGCACCAAATGTCACCTACTTGAAAATAGCTGTGGTCACATTCAGCATAAGTCATCATGTTGAAAAAGACAGTACTAAATATAGAAAAACATAGTCAATTTTAATAACTGGATGGATGTACATTTGAAAGACATAAAAATCTTACAGAATATCCTCCAATCACAGCCTGCAGATATCTCTCGATCTGCACTGAAGGCTCCCTACGAAAACCGCACTCTCCAAACTGGTACTGATTTGGTGTAGTAGAACCTGTAGTTACCAGTTGCTGCAATGTTTAAGCTTGTTGGGCAATTTGAATGAGAACAAAGTGTCGCATTAGTTTTGTGTGTTGTTGTCGCCGCGCTCAGCAATATCCCAGCTATATGACGGCTGTCTGCTACTAATCGTGTCAGGACCAGACAATCTAGTGCTGGACATCATGAGCATCGATCCATGCAATTGGGATACAATGACATGCATCAACCAAGTCAGCGGGCCTGACTGCCCGAGCCCGTTAGTCGCCTCTAACGACACGCATAGCCGCCTTTTAAGACAAGCATGTTCACATTAGTATCGTAGTCATTCATAACCACCACGGTACAACCTGAGAGAAGGCTTTCTTCTGTTCTTGTTGGGTGTTGCCATCGGTTGTTTCTCTGTGATAAAGAACATATACACTCAAAAGTGTGTACTGTGATATTCTGTAATATCGATTTGGGGCACGGGTGGCCCAGTCGTCTAAGGCGCCGTAATTCGTCACTTGTTACGTCCCTTTCCCTGTGTGTACAGCGTCCGTCGCTCACTCCGTGACACTGAACCAGGGCACAGTAATGTATTTATAGCGCGCACCACACAACTACACAGTAGGACATCATATCCGCTTCAGGTTACACACAACCAAATGTTTTCCCATAGACTTCTATAGTAACGTTATGATTTTTTTTTAAATAACTAAGCATTCAACAGCTATTACCTGTACGTGTGTGCACAGTTTGGCCTTAGAGCACCATTAAAAAAAATAAAAATGACTAGCTTAGCCAGCTCCTTTTCCGAGTACCGGAAGCTAAACACACCACCCCCAGTTTCGCACCAAATGTCACCTACTTGAAAATAGCTGTGGTCACATTCAGCATAAGTCATCATGTTGAAAAAGACAGTACTAAATATAGAAAAACATAGTCAATTTTAATAACTGGATGGATGTACATTTGAAAGACATAAAAATCTTACAGAATATCCTCCAATCACAGCCTGCAGATATCTCTCGATCTGCACTGAAGGCTCCCTACGAAAACCGCACTCTCCAAACTGGTACTGATTTGGTGTAGTAGAACCTGTAGTTACCAGTTGCTGCAATGTTTAAGCTTGTTGGGCAATTTGAATGAGAACAAAGTGTCGCATTAGTTTTGTGTGTTGTTGTCGCCGCGCTCAGCAATATCCCAGCTATATGACGGCTGTCTGCTACTAATCGTGTCAGGACCAGACAATCTAGTGCTGGACATCATGAGCATCGATCCATGCAATTGGGATACAATGACATGCATCAACCAAGTCAGCGGGCCTGACTGCCCGAGCCCGTTAGTCGCCTCTAACGACACGCATAGCCGCCTTTTAAGACAAGCATGTTCACATTAGTATCGTAGTCATTCATAACCACCACGGTACAACCTGAGAGAAGGCTTTCTTCTGTTCTTGTTGGGTGTTGCCATCGGTTGTTTCTCTGTGATAAAGAACATATACACTCAAAAGTGTGTACTGTGAT